GGCTCTCACCACCCTTACACCAAAGAATTTCTTCCTGGTATCCAACCTAAATCTCCCCTCTTCCATTTAAAACCATTCCCCCTTGTCCTGTCCCTAAACTCCCTGACAAAGAGTCCCTCCCCAGCTCTCCTGTAGCCCCTTCAGATATTGGAAGGGGCTCTAAGGTCTCCCCGGAGCCTTCTCTTCTCCAGGCTGAACAACCCCAGCTCTCTCAGCCTGTCCTCACAGCAGAGGTGCTCCAGCCCTCTGATCATCTTCGTGGCCCTCCTCTGGCCCCGTTCCAACAGGTCCATGTCCTTCCTGTGCTGAGGACTCCAGAGCTGGACCCAGTGCTCCAGGTGGGATCTCACGAGCGCAGAGGGGCAGAATCCACTCCCTGGCCCTGCTGCCACGCTTCTCTCGATGCAGCCCAGGCTGGGGTTGGCTCTCTGGGCTGCCAGTGCGCTCTGCTGGCTCCTGTTGAGCTTCTCATCCACCAACACCCCCAAGTCCTTCTCCTCACGGCTGCTCTCCAGCCATTCTCCACCCAACCTGTATTTGTGCCTGGGGTTGCCACGTCCCAGGTGCAGGACCCTGCACTTGGCTTGGTTGAACTTCATGCAGTTCGCACAAGCCCACCTCTCCAGCCTGTCCAGGTCCCTCTGGATGGCATCCCTTCCCTCCAGTGTGTCGACTGCACCACACAGCTTGGTGTCATCAGCCAGTTTGCTGAGGGTGCACTTGATCCCACTGTCCATGTCTCCAACAAAGATGTTGAACAGCACTGGTCCCAGTACCAACCCCTGAGGTCCTGTTTGAAACCTGCAGCCTCAGCAGAGGGTCTCTCCCTCTAGGAGGAGGATCTTGTTGCCCACCCACCCCACCAGCATGGGCAGCTCTGGGGCTGGCGGGGGCTGTTCAGCCCAGCAAACAGCCTGCCTGGGCAGCATCACCACCGGCGGGGTTCGACCGGGGTGCCTTCCCCCCTTTTCATCCTGGTTTTTGAGGCGTTTATGTAATTCCGCACGACGACGAGGAAATTGGGCCACGCTGTGTCGGTGCCTCCACCCGAGCACACAGGGATCCTCACCGCAGTCTGCGTACGCGGGCAGCGAGGGGCAGGAATTAATGCACTGGCAATTAATTGCCCCTCCATCCCCGAGCGGTGCCGAACTGTGCCGGAGCCATTTTACCATGGGCTAAATCCCCGGGGAGGAGATCTGGGAGGAAGAGGGACTTTAGGGGTTAAATGCTGCCTGGGGACAGGCGGAGAGACGCTGCCTCCTGCTTGGCACAAGTTTCACAGTCTTTGTGAACAGATCAGATGATCTCTGGGGAGTATTGCTGATGTCTACAAGCAGAGGAATCGTAGAATCATGGAATGGTTTGGGTTGGAAGGGACCTCAAAGATCATCTTGTTCCAACCCCAGTCCCAAATTGGTTTCTCCCCTTTAGTCCCACGGAGGTAATGGTGGTTTTTGACAATGAGTGGTGATCGTTGCCTGGCTGGTGTCTGTGATGAAAACCGAGCCAGCGTGGCTTCTGGTAGTGTTAGAGAACATTACAATATGTTGTAAATTGGCCACTAGAGACTGGGCTTGTTAGTGGTGGGATCCCAGATGTTATGGGGAGGTGGTTCCCATCCCTGGGGCACAACAGCCCGCCCAGCCCAGCAGAGGCAGCCGGGATGCTCATGGGGAAAGCGCGGATGCTCTTGTGCTGGAGGTGGGTGGCTGTGCCTGGGCTGAGCGGTGTAAATGCCAACACCACCCCATGCCCACCCTGCCTGTGGATTCCATGCCCTATAAATGCCACCACTCTCCCATGCCCTCCCTGCGTGCCCATTCCACACCCGGGATCTGGGCTGTGTGTGGATCAGTGCCTGTGGGTGTGTGGTGCTCTGGGACGAGGTGGTGGACCTGCGGTGTCCTGGGACAAGGTGGTGGACCCGTTGGACCTGCTGGGCCAGTATGTGGACCTGGCAGCTCTGGAGGAGCAGGGTGACAGCCCAACCAGAGGCGATGACTGCAGATGGAGCCTTGCAGGGTGGAAGCCATGTGGCTGGGCAGTAGCTCTGGTGGAAGCTCACGCTGTATTTGATGGGGAAGGAGAGATGTGGGGCAGACTGTGAAAGGAGGTGGGTTCAATCGCCTGCCCGAGAGTGCCTGGGAAGGCTGTGGGAGATGGCTGTGAGCAGCGGCAGCAGCAGAGTGTACCTCACAGCATCCTCTGCAGGGTACAGCGTGCTCTCTCCTTGGGATGTGCCAGCTGAGGACACGTACAAAGACAATATCCAAAGCTCGGGGGGACACGTGTGCACTGGCAGTAACCTGCAGTGCTTTGTGTGCCCCAGGATGAAGGGCTCCGTGGAAATACTTGAAACAGAAAGTGGAGGCTTTGGGTACTTTTCATACTGGTGGAAAAGTGGCTTGAGATTTCCTGCTGGATCTTTTGCATCCGTGCATCCATGCCATGGTATGTCTGTGCACCCTCCTGGGATGGAACCCCTCCAATCCTGCATATTCCCTTTCCTGCTCTCCTTCCCCTGCCCCTCTCCTCCAGCGGAGACATCCCCTGCTGCCGCCTGTGTTTCCAAAAGGCTGGTCCCATCCCCCGGGAGCGGGGCTGTTCACCTGCCTTGGGGAGGGCTTGGTTGGCTTCCCTCAGGTGCTGCGAATGCTGGCATGGGTGGATTGTGTATTCCTTGGGCAGCCTTGGTGGCCACAAACCACCTCCTGCCTTTAAAATCGGAGCTTTGTGGACGCTGAGGGATGGGGTGTAGACAGACCAAACAGTTGTGTTGGGAGATGCTGCTTCATGAGCCACTTGCATTTTGCTCTGTGCCCTGTTTCCCAGCAGGGCTTTAATTTTCTTCTCCCACCATCCTTGGGCAGCGGGGGTGGATCCCGCTGTGAGGGGTGAGCCTTGTCCCTGGGCTGGGCTTCCTTGTCTCATCGCAGGCTTTCTGGCTGCCTTTGTAGCCCCGGACTTGGTGCTGCGCTGCTCTGTGCTCCTCTGCTGCTTCAGCTCCAGGCTGATGGTCCTTTCTATGACCCAGATCACTCCAGCTCCTGCCTCAGGAACACCCCTGCCCTGCTGTTAAATGAACCAACGGGATGAGGTTCAACAAGGCCGAGTGCCAGGTCCTGCCCTTGGGTCACACCAACCCCCTGCAGCGCTCCAGGCTGGGGGCAGAGGGGCTGGAGCTGCCTGGCAGAAAAGGACCCGGGGGTGTTGGTGAGCTGTTGGCTGAACAGGAGCCAGCAGTGTGCCCAGGTGGCCAAGAAGGCCAATGGGATCCTGGCCTGTGTCAGGAACAGCGTGGGGAGTAGGACCTGAGAGGTGACTGTCCCCCTGTACGGGGCACTGGTGAGGCCTCACCTTGAGTATTGTGTCCAGTTTTGGGCCCCTCACCACAAAACAGACCTTGAGGGGCTGGAGCGGGTCCAGAGAAGGGCAAGGGAGCTGGTGAGGGGTCTGGAGCACAAGTCTTGTGAGGAGAGGCTGAGGGAGCTGGGGGTGTTGAGCCTGGAGAAAAGGAGGCTGAGGGGAGACCTTCTGGCTCTCTCCAACTCCCTGAAAGGAGGGTGTAGCCAGGGGGGGTCGGTCTCTTCTCCCAAGGAACAGGCCATGGGACAAGAGGAAATGGCCTCAAGTTGCACCAGGGGAGGTTCAGATTGGAGATCAGGAACAATTTTTACACGGAAGGGGTTATCAAGCCTTGGAATGGGCTGCCCAGGGCAGTGGTTGAGGCACCATCCCTGGAGGTGTTCAAAAGCCAGGTTGACATGGTGGTAGGGGACATGGTTTAGTGATGTTTTTTTTGTCAGAGTTAGGTTGATGGTTGGACTAGATGATCTTGAAGGTCCCTGCCAACCTAGATGATTCTATGATTCCCTCTTTTTCCTTAGCTGTCCCAACAGCAGTGGAATCGATCCGAGCCACGGCTGAACATTGCTCTCAGCAACTACAGCATTGCCAAAGTCTTATGAGTCAGGAATAAAAGCCAAATGCCCACCTCTCAGTGACATACGGGCTTTTCTGCTCTCCTTGCAGCCCAGAAAGGAGACGTGCTGCACCCCTGGTTAGAGCTGAGGGATCCCCAAGGTCCGTATGTTGCAGCCTCTCAGCCTGGCTGGCCTGGGGGATGTTCCCAGCCCTCCCGGCTCCCCCAGCCCTGGCTGAGAAGCCCCAGGTGGGTTTTGCCCATCTCCATCTCTTTTTAATTCAGATTGAGGGAGGGGAAATGAAGGGGCTGCTTGCTGCTCCACTGCCTTTGTGGGTTTTGAGTGCACCCGGAAAAACCTTGACTAAACTTTGAACATAGGGATGAGGCACAGACCTTGCTCAGGACCTGCTCTGCTCTCCATGTTGGGATTCGCTTTGGGCAGTGCCACCTCTTGAAGCCCCCCATCTCCTCCGCCTGCCCCGGGGGTGATCTGAAGAAATGCTACATTACACCTGCTCCTTGGTTTGGGGTTGGTTTGCTGGGTTGAAGTCACCCGAGTGTTGTGGAGTTGCAGGAATTTCTGTTACAGCTGAGGTGCTGACGGGGGAGGTTTCTGCCCTCGGAAGGTGTGATGATGGCTTTGGGTAAAGGCTGTTACCTCCCCGCTGTGTCGCTGCCACCTTTCCCTTGGGTGAAATACCTTAGTCCTGCCCAAAGCAGACCTCGCAGAGCCCCTGTGACGTTCGGGGCACATTGTCACCGTGCCTGGCTCCGGTGGCCCTGCCTGGGAAGGGGATGTTTGATGCGTGACCCTTCTCAGTGCTAACCCCGTCACCCAGCCCTGAACCAAACCCTGGTGACAGCCACAGGGCCATCCTGCGTTCCTCCTCTGCACCACGCTCTGCTCCGGGGCTGGGGGGGACATGGTGGCCGTGACCCCCGCCCCAGCCGAGCTGCCTTCGTGCGGGAGGAGGCAGGAGGTCCCCTGCCCGCCGGTTAGTACGGTCCAGGGGTAACCATGGAAACTGTTTTTTTTTTTTTTTTCCTTTTCTCTCCATCCCTCCCTTCGCAGATGACTCGGGCGACGAGGAGCCCGCCTCGCAGTCAGACAAGAGCGAGCTGCACGGCACGTTGAAAACCCTCTCGAGTAAACTGGAGGATCTGAGCACTTGCCATGAGCTGATCGCCAAGCACGGGGCGGCCCTGCAGCGCTCCCTCAGCGAGCTGGAGAACCTGAAGCTGCCGGCCGAGAGCAGCGAGAAGATCAAGGCGGTGAACGAGCGAGCCACCCTCTTCCGCATCACCTCCAATGCTATGATCAACGTAAGTGCCGCCGCCCGAGCCGCCCCGGGGCGCGAGGAGGAAGAGGGAGAAGCGTTTTCCTCCTCTTCTTCCTCCATCCTCCTCCTTCCCTCCGGCACGGCCCCGTTTTCTCCGCGTGCACCAGGTTCTGGGAGGGCTGTGTGTTGGCGCGGGGCTCGGCCACGGCCGTGGTGAGGGGACAGGATTGGGGAAGGCTCAGCCCGGGGAGCAGACACGGGTGTGTGTAACCCCCCGAGACACAGCTCTGCTACGTCCTTACAGCCTGCTTTCTGGGGAGCCTGCTCCAAACCAGGACATCTGGGGTATAAATCTGGGGACACCCGAGGTTTGGGGTGCAGAGGGGCTTTCTGCTGCTCCTGGGGGTGCCTTTCTGGCCAGCCCAGCCCTGTGGAGCCCGTTGCCTGCTGCGGATTCAGACCCACATCCCCCCCATCGCTCGCATCTTCATCGACTTCCATGAAGCTGCCCTTGTTTTACACGACTGGGGGATTTAACCCCCTCGGGGACCAAGGGCTGTCTCCTGCCAGCTGGGCTCTCCTGCACCGGGGTGGTTGGAGATCGTGTGTTGGCCCCGGCGTTGCTCCCCGGCATGTGCAGCATGACGGTGCTTTCTGATTATTCTTTTGGCCAGCTTCTGTTTGGGGTGTGGATCTGCCTCCACGGCAGTGAGACAGCCCTTCCCGGGGAAGCCGTATTTCCCCTGGGGGGCTGCATTTTCCCTGGGGAGTTTTGGGGAAGGGAAGAGAGAGTAAAATGAAATGAAATATTTAAAGAAAAAAAAAAAAAAAAAGAAAGCAAAACCCAGCCCAAAAGCCAACCAGACCTGGAATAATGTATGAAGGCAGAGCTTGGGGAATTGTGAATGGAGCAGCGCTGTCGCCGTGCGGTCCCAGCCCCGAGCAAAAGGAGGTCGTGCGTTGATTTGTGTGAGCTTTTAAAAAATAATCATAATTATCCATGGCAGGAGGTGGAGGCCACTCAGGAGCCCGGCGGTCGCAGCATCCTCCCTGGCCCCCCTCGCAGGATTTTGTAGCCAGGGGGGCCGGGGGGGGGAAGGGCTCCCTGAGCTGACGTCCTGCCTTTTGGAGCAGGTTTGGGGGTGCAGCGCTCTCCCCATGCAGAGTTTGCCCAAGTTTTTGGAGCAGGCTGGCAGCGTGTGGTGAGGGGGAGCCGGCAGAGCCCCGGGCGCTGCCGAGGTTTGCTGTGGGGCGGCAGAGCGGCAGTGGGATGCGGGAGGGGAATCGCTGGGGAGAGGATTTCTCCAGCAGCCTTTTGGGATACGGAGAGCAGAGAAGTATTTGCTGTGTCCAGCCCGGAGAGGAGGAGGTTGCAGGTGGTTGAGATGCAATAAAAGCTTGAGTGAGGCCATCCGGATGGTGGGAAATAGCACAAAAACTTGTGCAGGGACAAAACTTGTAGAAACATGGTTTTTCTGAACCACCGAGCAGGTGAGAGGGGCCAGGGAGGGAGCGAGGCACAAGGTGTTTTCAGGTGGGTGTCAGAGATGTGTTTTTAACAGCGTCCTTTTGTACGTCAGCTCGTGGCTGAGCCTCTCGAGGAGGTGTCCGAAGGGGAAAGGCTGTAACCTGGAAGAAGCAGGATCAGGGGGGTGGATGCAGCTCTCCCAGCTTCCTGGTGAGCCCCTCGTTTTGGGGGGAGGTGACAAAGCTGTGGGCAGGGGGGTGCTGACCCCACAGAGCAGCAATGCTTTGGGGGGGCTAGATTAGAAAGGCAGGAGGAGGGGCAGGATCATGGGGGCTGGGAGGGAGAGGCACTGACAGCCTCACCCTCCCCATCATGGTCACCTTTTCTGCACGGATCCCTTTTTGTGCCTTGATTTTATCTTTTTAGCACGGGGTGACGCCTTCTGCCGCCGGACCCTGCCTGGGGAGTCTCTCCTGGGGTGGGGGGTGGCTCTGTGCAGTGCAAAGTCCCCAAAATCTTCTGTTTGAAACACGGGCCATGGCTACAGGGAAGCCTAGGGAGTGGGAGCCCAGGAGTGGAAGCCCCCCCAGGAGTGGATGAAAATACACCCTGCCCCTGCCCACCTCCATCCCAGCTGTGCTTCCCAGGGCCACGTGTCCCAGGGGAGCACAGGGCGCTTTTGATGGGCTGGGACTTCCTTGCAGGAGAAATTAACCATCCCTTGCCTGATGGCTTTTCCCCAGGGAGGTCCCAGGCAGCAGCGATGGGCTGGTGCCGGGGGGTGGATGCTCCATGTCCCTGCTCAGCCCCGGCCCCGGCACCAAACCACCTGAGTCCTGCCTCCCTGAGCATGGCCTCTGCCCGCGCAGCAGAGCTTGGCTTTTGCAGGAGACGCTGTGGGTCACATCCACATCTTGTGGTGGCACATACTGCTGCTCCTTCCTCGCCGAGATAGCGCTGTGTTCACTTCATTTTCAGTTGCACCCCTGAGCAGTTTTAGGGGGTTCAGACCCGTGAGCCGCCGGCTGGGACAGACCCTGGGAGCTGTATCCCCGTCTTCTCGAGCAGTTCCAGGCTCATGGCAGCAGCCCTGGGCTCTGCCCGTGTCTCCTGCTCCCAGCTGGGACCTGTGTGGCCTCCGTGCCCTGTCCGGTGGGCAGGTGACAGGGCAGGGCTGGGCTTTGCTGCCTGCAGCGGGAAGGGACCGATGCTCTGGGGCGGGAGGGGGTGAACGCTCTGGGATGGGAAGGGACTGATGCTCCAGGGTGGGAGGGGATGGATGCTCTGGGATGGGAAGGGACTGATGCTCCAATGCTCCAGGGCGGGAGGGGATGGATGCTCTGGGATGGGAAGGGACCGATGCTCCAATGCTCCAGGGTGGGAGGGGATGGATGCTCTGGGATGGGAAGGGACCGATGCTCTGATGCTCCAGGGTGGGAGGGAATGGATGCTCTGGGATAGGAAGGGACTGATGCTCTGGGGCGGGAGGGGATGGATGCTCTGGGATAGGAAGGGACTGATGCTCTGGGGCGGGAGGGATGGATGCTCTGGGATGGGAAGGGACTGATGCTCTGGGGCAGGAGGAGTCAAATGTTCTGGGGCCAGCAAGGATGGATGCTCTGGGGCGGGAGGAGATGGATGCTCCGGGGCTGGCCCTTCTGGTTTCGTCCTGTGATCCGATTATGTAAATGTCCCCGGTGCCGCGGGGAGCGGCAGCGAGTAGAAATAAATAAATACATATGTAAATGGGAGAGCTCTGCTGCGAAGGTGACCTCCTCGCTCCGTGCCCGGGGTGCCTGCCTCTGCTGGCTCCGGCTGCTCCTCCGGAGCTCGGGAGGAGAGGGCAGCTGGGGCTGCCCCCGGGTGAGTGATGCTGGGGATGAGGGAGGGAGGTTTGGGCAGAGGTAGAGTGGGATGTACTGGACCTTTGCGCCACAGGTGAGGATCTGAAACCCAGAGGGACTGACTGTTGTGGGGTTTAAATTTAAGCCCAGACCTTTGTGAGCCACCGGTTCGCTCTGCTCCTGTCTGAACGTGGAAATCTCCCGTAACACCGGGTGATTTTCCAGGTGAGAGTCAGGGCAGAGCTTGGCCTCACCAGGACCAGGATGCCCCGTGTCACCAGGGCTGTGAGGAGCCACGAGGAGGGGACGCGGAAAAGCAAGTCGCAATCTGCCGCGGAGGAGGAGTGGGAGATGTGTAAGAATAAGAAGCAACAAATTAAAGGGATAATTAGAGGCATGGAGACGAAGAGTGCTGTGCTGAGCTGCGTAGACTCATCTGAGGCGCGGGGAAAGCTCCTGTCTCATCATTCCCCAGCAGACAGCAGGCAGGAGGCCGAGCGGACACCCCGAGGAAGCCGGTTTGGGCGTCAGGAAGAGCTCCCAGGGCTGTGGGTGGTGCTAGAAATAGGTTTTTGATGGGAATGGGGTTTGCTATGGTGGAGCTTGGAGGCGGCCAAACTGCGTGCGAGCGTGCAATAGCTGTGCTCTTCTTCTGGCCAGCTTTGTGCTTCCTTGAGGGACGCGAGCATTTGGGGCTTGGGCTTGGCTGTATGTCCCTTCTGGGTTAATTTGAGTTTTTCTTCGAGGCTGATGAGGAGCAGAGTTTGGAGGAAGGCTCTGTGCACAGCACAGCCTATGCAAGGAGGGGTGAGGCAGCCGGGGCAGGGTGGGTGATGCTGAGGTGGCCAGATTTCCTGGGGAGGGCTGGTGGTGAGCAGGCGGTCGTGGGGACCCCAAGGGCTCTACACCTGCCCCTCCAAGTGGCTTGCCACGCTGGTGGCCACCCAAGCATGGCGCGCAGAAGGTGCTGGCACCCGCCTCAAGACAGACTCACTTCCCCACCTGGGTTTCCATTGCCCACAGGAACCATAGGATCACAGAACCGTCTGGGTTGGAAAGGACCTTTCAGACCATCGAGTCCAACCATCAGCCCAGCACTGCCAAGGCCACTGCTAACCCGTGGCCCTCAGCACCACGTCTGCCCGGCTTTTAAGTCCCTCCAGGGATGGTGACTCCACCGCTGCCCTGGGCAGCCTCTTCCAAGGCTTTCAGTGTAAAAATTGTTCCTAATACCCAACCTAAACCTCTCGTGATGCAATTTGAGGCCGTTTCCTCTTGTCCTATCCATGTTCCGTGGGAGAAGAAGGATTCCCTCCTTTTAGGGAGTTGTAGAGAGCAAGAAGGTCTCCCCTCAGCCTCCAGGCTGAACACCCCCAGCTCCCTCAGCCGAATGGACCTGCCTGGAGCGAGGGCACACTGAGCCATCAGCAAAGAGCATCCTTCAACCCCCTGAACCTGCGGGGAGGGCTTTTAAGTGTGTGAGACAAAGAGCTTGGATAAGAATTGATATCAATAGCGATATGTGCTGCTTGTCCCCCGGGGAAGGTGGCCACGGACTGTTTATTTAAGCCTGGGATGCCCAGCTGCGTCCTCCAGCCCTGGAGAGTTTCTCTCTGCAGAGCCCTCTGGGGCCATGCTCTGGCTGGGCAGTGGCTCCGGGGTGGCCCCGTGGTGGCTCAAGGGCCAGAAGAGCTCTCCCCATGGCCACGCTTGGCTCCTGGGGAACTCAGA